CTGAACATACCATGTATTTAGGGTTTAATTACAATACTTAAATGTAAAGTAATTAGCATTTGTAAAAGTGTGTTGCTCAATCAATTTGGGGTCACTCATTTGCCCTTCAATACTGAAGATGCATGACCTATCCTTCATTAAAAATCCATTCTGGAATGGTGAATAATACATTAAAAGCTTAAGAATTTTAAAATAAACAAAAGCAGAATATAATAAGTTATCTTGCAAACAATAAAAATAAAAATGACCAGACAGAAAACAATAAAAGTAGAAGCAATACTGTCATTTAAAATGCCAAGACAAAAGTTTCTTGACCAAGTGCCAAAGAGATTTCAGATCTGGCACCAAATACATTTCCTTAGGTCCAAACTAAATGTTCTTCTAAACACACATAGTGGAGGCATTGTATATGTGATTCTCTGACAAGTGCACATGGAAGAATTGGCCCCAATTCAGATTAGGACTCCACACACACCTGTTTTCAATCAGCAGAATAAATGCAGGCTTTTAATTTAATTTAATTTTATTTTCTCTTCTCTTTTTTAAAGCAGTCTGTACGGGATTTCAATAGGAAATGAGTGGGGAGAAGCTTTAGTGCCTTTCCCCAAATTCCATGGACTCAATCCCTGCACTTGCAGGAGAGTAGGGATTACTCTACCTTCTGCAATTAGAAGAAAATTTAGTCTGGCCTTTACCGCAAGGATAGTCCAGAATCAAGGCACCATCATCAAAAAGGCCCTATCTTTTTACATTCATAATCCATATTGATGACTGACGGAACTTGGAGAAGATTTTCATCAGAATATTATATTGCACCCACAAGTTAATGTGGGAGGAGATGCTTCTTCACATAGTTGGACACCAAGATATTTAGGGCTTTATTTAGGCACCAGCATCTCAAATTGGATTTGTAAGCAAATAACAGCTGATGTGAATTCTTTTAGCATAACTTAGTTCCACCTAGCTAAACCAATTAGAATTCTAACAGCAACATACTTCATTAACTGAAGATGCTGAATTATCTGCAAGGAAAAGCTCCATATAGAATGCATTTCATTGATGCAGCTAGAAAAATTATGATGAGGGCATGGATTTTAAAAAGGGAACTCTTCTGATTTCTATTCCACTTGGACAAGATAAGCCAAATGAGATGCTGTGAACCCCTGAGAAGGATCTGGTCATCCCATGTGGCTGCCAGTAGGACTTTGGGGAAAAGAAACCAGAGTGCATCCAGCAATACTTACTCAGCCTCAAACTCTATAATAATAAAGGATAATGTCTGTCTGTTGCTCATTGCCACAGCAGTGCCACAAAACCTGGGCACCTGAAGCTTAGTATGTGCAGTAGAGGGTGTGCCACTTGGGCTTATGGATTTAAAAAAAATAAATAAATTTTAAATTAAAACTATTTAAACATATCCACCCTCATGATCATGAGGTGGCAGATTTTGCTAATCAGAAGTAGCTTTGCAAATGATACAGTTCAAAGTCACAGGGCAATACTCCAACAGGACAAAGCTAAATGGTTGCCCATTCCTCGGCTCTGAGGTATCCTCCTCAGGGGGACTGGAGTGGATAGAAATCCTTAGGGAACTCTAGGGGTGCCACTGGCTTCACTGAAATGTACGAAGGGCCATTCTCACCTACAGAAATAGAGCAAGTCAGAAGGGGTCTCCCAGGCCATCTAGTCTGACCCCTGGCTCCAGCCAGCTCCGCTCATGAAATACCTGCAAAGCAGGCTGGTCAGCTCATTTGCAAATAAATGTTTTTGGAACTGAAGTTCTGAGTCCATCTCAAATTAACTCAACAGAACACATTCTAGAATATAAGCATGTTAAAGCTACCCTACACATTCCAAACATTTATAACTGGTCTAACTTCTCTTCCACTTGAGAATGGAGGTAAATCACACACTGGAATGATTCTACACACATGCCCACACAATCCCTTGGTGCTGACAGAGGTTTGTCTGCTTGTTTAAGTGGAAAAGCCCTGAAAATATAGCTATTCATGCACACATTTTGAAGCAGTGCTGTTCTGGAAGCCCTGTACCATATATATTTCCCTGAATGCTTAGATGGATCCACTGCAGAAAATAATTGTCTGATGCCTTAAAATACATATTTATCAGTTAGAAGGCTTTGTGGGTGACAAAACATTTATTTCAATCCTACAGAGGCTTCCCCAAACTACTTTTGACTTAGGAGCTTAAAGGAAAAACAAATGACAAGAAAGCAGGATTTAGGGATGGTTTATCATGTCTGGATGGCAACATTTATAAGGAGTGCTAATACCTTCTATTCTTTGTGCTTTGTTTGAATTTGTTCCTCTCCATATCAGTGAGGGAAATGCCTAATGCCTGACACATTTTTCTGGCATACTGGAAACGGATCCAGATTTCAATGCTCAGCGCCACCAGTGCTGGCCAGCCACGCAAGTGCCGAAGGACAAGACATCCAGTGATGAAACAGGCTGGCTATGCAGTAGCTGACTGGTAGAGTGAATCAAACTGGGTGAAGTTAAGTGGTGGTGGGGGCATGGGGGTGGGGGGGAGAAAACCACCATTTCAGAAAACTTGTCAGATAAAGTGAGTGCCACTTGCTGTTGAAAAAGCCAAGTCAGGCTGCCAAGAGGGAAAGAGGCGCCCCGAGTTTATTGCTCAAAGTTCTCACCTTTGCCCGAAACAGTGAGGTCTCTGGTGGGAACACCAGAACAGAAGAAAAATGTGTTTCCTATTAAGATGTTTAAATGAAAAAGGAGATGAGGGGAAGGGGAGACCAGAGACAGGCAAGTCTCTTAGGGCACTCAGACACAAAGCTCCACTCCAGAATCCTTTCCGAAAAGCATTTAAAATGTAAAGGAACAGTGATGGGTGTAAATCTGCCTGGAAATCACAGTTTAATTGCACTTTCATTCCCAATTCCAGTTAAGTGAAGGTTTATTGGTAGTGAACTAGGGGATAGCACTTTGCATATGCTCAGTGCAATTGTTGCCTTACTGTTACCCTATGTTTAAGGCATGGGCCCTGACACTGATAGGTATGATGTCTGTGACTCTGGTCTGATCCCCCATTTAGCAAAGCAAAACAAATCAAAACAGTCCTCCAAGAAACCCTTGCAAATGTCATTCTTGAGCAATTATAGCAGTCAAAATTTTAGGACTGTTTCAGCTCTAGCGTTCTTTGGTCCTATTTGTAATCAAAGTGAAAACGTTCGTATTTGATCAAGGAGCAACTGTAGCGTAGTTGCTGTATACATAAATGTATTTCACCTAATTGTTTTTGGAGAGTTGCTTTTGTAATTGTTTTTATGGAATGTGGAGTTGCGGGGGAGATAAATACGTCAGAAGATTTCATAAAAACATGAAGATTTCTTTGGAAAACATCAGGGGACAGCCAACCCACCATTTATTCTCTTTTGGCATAGATCAACTGCCAATCCTAACTCTCTGACAAGGGTAATTGCATCATCTAACAAAATGCAATATTTTATTGTTTTACTTCCCTGCTTTTTCACTGTGTTATGTTGATTTTATTCTGTGGCATACAATAAAACAATTGTATGAAATTCTGAAACAATTCTGAAGTTGTATTTGCCTCATTCACACAGTAACCTGAGGCTCTTGCAAAGGATGACATACAAATATCCTAAATAAATAAATAACCTTCTCGAGTGTACCCTTGCAAACCGCCACTGCCACCATTACACCCTCACACCCTGGACAGTTCTCCGCCGGGTTCGATGGCACGTGCCTTCAGTCCCCTT